CTTCTATGACATTGTCTGCGGTGGAAGCCCGTTGTTGATCGATCGATAAATCTTTTCTCTACGGGAATTAAAATAGTACAACAACAACAACAACAACCCAGTTAAATCCCACAAGAGTAGGGTCTGGGGAGGGTGTGTGTACGCAGACCTTGCCCCTACTCGAAAGTAGAGAGGCTGTTTCCAAAGAGACCCCCGGCTCAACGTCGAAAGTTGCATTGCTTGACTAACTGCTACTTCATTAATTAAAGAAGCGCAAATAGTTTAGATATCCATTTTGATTTATTCCATCACACCCCAAAGCCAAAAACAGGTGAAATTTTGGCTCCATCGGAGATGATGGAAAAGGGAATTAAAATAGTAATTACCTATTTATTAGAAGAAGATGCTGCTTTTTTTGTTTTTTCTTGCCTGCCCAAATCGTGAAAGTGGAAGAAATTTGCACCCCTTTCAAAGACCTTATAATGAAATTAAAAAACCTGAACATAATCACGTCCACATTCATACATTTTCTCATTTGAACATAATCAGATGCTTTTCTTTTAGAAATGGAGTTCAGTAGTCCATCAGACTTTAGATTTGAAAACAATCTAATTTGAGTCAGTAATAGATCATGTTGTGAAAAAGGTTGATCAAATGGTGAATAGACGATTAGACGTATGGCCAGAGGAAGAGGTAGACCTAAGAAACCTTGATCAAGGGAGACCTTTCCGTGAATGGTTGGTTTATCATTCACGATTCTTGTTTTTTTTTTTTGCTTAAAAATAAAGGTTTTGATGGTTCCCATGCTAGCTCCAAAATCATACACTCGAGAAGTTGTGATAGAGCTTCAGTGTCATGGCAGTGAAGTATGCTTGAACCGTGTGTTGAGGGCTTGTCTTGAGGCGGGGGCTAAACTTGCTGAGCCAGGATAGTCTGTTACTTTATCCTTCCTTTCTTTTTTATAAATCAAATTTGTGACTAGCCATGAATCTTCTTGATGAGAGTTAATATGTGATTCTTGAAATTATTCTGCAACTCTACAGTGCCTATATATGCGATAATACATACTATAAGAAAATAAGGTATTATTACTTGCCCCCTCTGTCAAACTGTCACATGAGTCCTTAATTGTCTGTTTAACTAAAAGTACCAAGATAATTTTTTGTAGCACATTTCTATTATAAAAACATGATTTCCTTTATTTTCAATGGTTCGCAAGAAATGCAAATGGAGCTAAAATAGTTGTAATTGACAATGTTTTCTAGCTTTGAGTAAGTAATGGACTGAATCGAAATTACACGGTAAACCTTCCTTTGCGTTTTTTTATTATTTTTATTTTTTTACTTTTCACTTTCAATGTAGTTTTTGGTAGTAAATGTAGCAATGCATCAATGGTCTGATGGAAACAATCTCTAAAAATTTATGGGGTAAGACTGTGTACATCTTGACCCCCAAACCCCACCGAAGTTGGGATTATATTGAGTATTGCCATAAATATTGAATGTAATGCAAAAGAGCTTTTGTCAACTTGGACTATTTTTTGGGACAAAAATAACTTTATAAACAGGACTCTTTTATGGGGCCAATGCAAGTTGTAAATTAAATGTATTCCTTCATATCAGGTGAGTTCACTCTTCGTGCATTCTTGAACGGGCGTTTAGACCTTTCTCAAGCTGAGAATGTGGGAAAGCTTGTATCAGCTAAGTCAACTGCTTCTGCTGATTCTGCATTAGCGGGAATGCAGGTTCTGATATGAGTGTAGATTGTGTTTTCTGTAGTTCATTTATTTCATACTCTGTATCAGTTTTTATTTCATGCCTCTCCTACTGACTGTTTCTGTTGCACAGGGAGGCTTCTCTTCTTTGGTCAAATCTATAAGGATGCAATGCATTGAATTGCTTACTGAAATTGAAGCCCGTTTAGACTTTGATGATGAGGTGCCACCACTTAACTTGAACGTAATGATGGAAAAAATATATGGGATGGTGAGAGATATTGATAGTGCACTGGAAACTGCTAACTATGACAAACTTCTGCAGTCTGGAATACAGGTTTACTTGCGCTTAATACTAAAACTAGCTATTTCCCTCCCTACGCATTCTCGTGGAAAACACCTTTACCTGTTAAGTGTTAATCTTGGCATGTTTTGGTGAATCACACAAACACATGGATTAATGGATACTGGATATGGTTCAAGCTGA